TATATATATATATATAATATATAGAACTTTTCATCTTGACTTTATTCTATAAAATGTTAATAAAAATATTTTAAAAATCAAAATAATTTACAAATATTTATACATCCTTTATCACACAACTAAAACAGAGCATTTCATGAAATACTAAATGATTTTATATACACAAATTTCCAGAGATCATATCTGAACCTGGAATTAAAATCACATTTTGTATGCAACATTTAATATAAAGATTTAAGCAAAATTTGATACGATAAGTTTATATATCAAATAATTGTAAAGCAATATCAAATTTTGATTAATGTTTCCTCCGATTCTCCCGATAATTCCAAGGTATGATAGAAATTAACATTAGGATCTACTACTTGCTCATCACAATTGATAGATTGAACAGAATAGGTGGTGTGACTAGTACACTCTTCCGATATCGGTGCCAAGACTGGTTGATGAATTCTTGTGCTTGACAACAAAGCTAAATAAAATAAATATTAATATTTATAATGGATATTTCATAAATACAAAGTAGCAAGTAATTTTATTAATATTCAATTAATGTCAAACTCACTCAAATAAATTCTCTGTATTATCACTTACAAATTAATTCTTAGCATGTTTGAATGGAATAAATTAGCAACAATATTGATAATGTTAAAAAATGTAAAAGTTCAAATATTGAGATTTGACTAAGTTAAATCCATATTTGATCAATAAATAAACTGTTTGATATAATAAATGTTTGAAATGTTATATTGCCCATTTTTATTAAAAATGTGTTCCATATAAAGTTGATTGAATATGTGCGTGCTAACAAATATACTATTGAATGCTCTATTTACTATAAACTCCAGATTTATTTCTTGAAAATATAAACAATCATATAAAGTGAAGGAATCTGCTTCATAACATGTGTGTTTTTAGACATAGAAAGTTCAATATCTAGATATATACCGTATTTTGACGAGTATAAGTCGCACTTTTTTTTACTACTTTTTGGGGCTCAAAATCATGGTGCGTCTTATACTCGACAGGTAACCCTTTTTACAGTGAAATTATCTATAGTAGTGGTCCACTCTAGGGACCAACCTGTGCAGTGGTCCGTTAAGCACATGGTCCCTCAACCGAATGGCTAGAGTACCTAGATTATCAGAATAGTGACACACGAGTCATCGCCACCATGTTCTGTCGACTGTCATCGCATGACCTCTGAGTTTACATTAAGAAATTACAATTATTTCAGTTTAATAAAGGTATCGATTCACCCATCCGTCATATTCTGGAATAAAAAAACGAATAAAATGCAATCTCCCATTTTAAAAGTTTTTTTCTAAATTTTCTGTCTCAAAATAGGGGTGCGTCTTATACTTGACAGCGACTTATACTTGTCAAAATACGGTAATGCCCAAAATCTTGTCTTTCACAGGATCTACAGCATCTTAAATTTTAAATTTATATAGTTTTAAGATAGTTTGATATATTGTTATTGAATATGTTTAAATGTAATTTATACATGTTTAATAATGATATATTTGACACTTGAGTAGGTCACATATAATGCTGCTTCATATTTATACTTCACTGTACAATTAAAAATTAATTCTAATTATATTACAAGTATAAAAAATTCCCACTTATTATATATTCTTACGGTCAATATTTTTAACAAATGAATATTTGGGATTTACTAACAACACCTCATAACAATTACAATAATGTTTTAGTAATTATTTTTCAAAACAGGATAAAGGTAGTTTCAAATACACTGTTTTGTAGTTGTTTTAATGCTTCTTTATAAGAAAATACTGTTAAGAATTATTTATATGTTCCTTTGATCTGATATTATTGTTAAAATTATTATTTTTCTAGTAAAAGTTTTGATAAAATCTTGCAAAATTTTAAATATTACTTTTGTCATATTTACAATAAGAAAAAATATTTTGCATGTTTTAACATTTAAAATTCATTAAAGATACACGTTTGCCTTCGAGGCTACATTTGTCAATTGGCAATCATTGTTATTATGACAATGTTTGAAAATAAAAGAAATATTACATAATATTTTTTCATTTCAAACTTTATTGTAACAATAATAAAATTTATACTCTTGCCAAATGTTATGTAATAAAATAATAATCTTAAATTGTTGTTTCTATGAAATTTTTATATCAATAATTTATAATTTTAATTATATACTTTTTGAAACTTTTTTTTATTAATGATATATTGACATAACTTACTTCATTATCTATATTTTTGAAAGTATTTATAAAATTACACTCTAAACTTTATTATTTCTTAACATATTTTAGAAATTGAATTTTTTCTTGCATTTTACATATGAATAATAATTGTATTATTATTATATAAGCTTATGTTAACAAGTATTAGATATACAAAAATTTTGAAAGAAATATTTTCCACATTTATCCATTAAGTTGATGGGTTTGAAGATATCAATTTTGTTTGCTAAATAGTAGAAATATTCTGATCTATGAAATTAAAGCTATATAATTTATAAAACACCTTGATATCATAAACATAAGATATAGAATGAATTCATACACAGTAAATCCCTGCTAACTTGGAGTGATAGAGGTGAAAGTTGTCCAAATTTATGAAAATCCAAGTTAGCAGGGCATTTTGTCAGATGATGTCGAAAATGATTATCAGAGTTGTTTGCTGTGCTAAATTGCAAGGCCAGAAACTAGTGATTGGAAAAGTAAAATTCCTAGATTTTTTAAAGATATGAAACGTTTATTGGTGTTGATTACTGTTCAAATGCCCAAATGACAACTAAGCTTGTTAATAACTAATTAGTTAAATAAAATATAAATTTGAAATAAAGATTATTTTGTTGTACAGCACATTCATGCATTAACATTATGCCAATTAAAATCATTAAAACAATATTCCTTCCTGTGAATATATCACCACTAATTCAGCCATCTGACCAAGGAATCATAACTAACAAAGATATACTACAGAAGTGGTGTATGCAAGAATTTTAAAACTAGATGATAATCAAAGTTATTGAATAATTATCTGGAAAATCATTTAACAAAATTAATGAAAAGCAACATAAAAATAATCTAGATCTTCCAACAAATGCAAGCTTTTTGAGTACTTTATCATGGTATACAGTGCAAATGTGTTAAGTTTCAAAAACATTATAAGTACAGTATTTCATAATGAAATATGCCAAAAAATAAATGGCAAATAATGCTGAATAAACTACAAATAATTATTATTATAATTAATAAACTTTAAGTTAATTATTAAATTCATTTTAAATAGTTTTAATAGTTATAACATGACTCTAAATTATCCGATTCAATAAAACTGGAATTTCTATTAATTGTGCTCCAAGTATTTTCATCACATAATGTTATCACTTGTTTATCATCATCAATGTAGGTTAGCCCCAAAGTTATTAATCTGTTGTACATTATGTATGAATATTATAGTTGATGGAAGTGATATTAAATACTTTTTACTTGAAAAACATTCTACTCATATTAAATGAGCATTCCATATAGAAAATAATCCCCTTTTACATATCATAAATAACAGTATCTTCTATTTGTTATTTAATACAAAAAATTAGTACTTTAATTTTTAATTTGCAAATGCTGATTTTATATTTCGTTTAATAAACATTAATTATCAGTATAATGACTAAGAGTTTATTTTTGAAAAGAGGAAATCAAATTGAAAATTCAACAACTGGAATTAACACGTTAATTTTTTATGGATAGAAAGTTGTATTTAGCCTTAAAAAAATTTTTTTTACTATGTTAAGAAAGTTGTACCACTATACAGTACTCTAAAACAGTGGTTCTCAGTTATAAATCCACTTAAACAGAATCACAGATAAACTGTGGACTACCTACAGCAGTGTTTCCCAACCTTTTTTGTGCTATGCTCCACCTAAGCCTTTCTAAAATTCTTATGCCTCCCTAACATACACAGTGGCTATACGGTTAACTTAAACTCTGGACGAGTCCATTTTCGAATTGCCCCCCGTGGGCATGGGCCCCATGTTGGGAAACACTGACCTACAGTATGTCAACTTAACCTTAGATAATGACTGTCATGGGCCAAAATAATCTGTTTTCCAGCAACCTAATGTGAGGGAGAACTTATATGATACATGAAAATGTCTTCTCTCTGGTTAAACATCGTAGAAATACATTTTGGAAAATAGACTAGATTAGTTTTTAGACTATCTGGTGTGTGCTTGCAGACAAACAATGGTTCTCAAACCATACTTTGAGAGTAACTGCTCTACAGGACAATGTTTTTTGCCAAATAAACTCTGCAATTTACAGATAAGCTGTCTGAAGTTTGTATAACAAATATGTAAATTTTAAATATCTCTTTCATTACATTATTTGTTTTTTTATTACCATATCAATTTAAATGAAATAAAAACTATCATCATTGATCTAACAGTTCTACTTCATATATAACAATATTTCTACACAATAAACAAATAAATAATTAATTTTTAAAAATAAAAACATTTAACTCTTCTTTAAAAAGTGTTTGATGGAAAAATTATTAATGAATTTCCAATAGAAAACAGATGAGAACTGTTAAATTTACAGAGTAAACAGTTTATTTAAATAGATTTTTTCTGATTTTTTACATTGAAAACAAACAGTGTGATAAAATCAATATGTTGACATAAAATACAAATCTAAAATAGTGAGATGTCTTCTTTGCAGTAAGTAAAGTTTATTCAACAAAAAAGTCAAGCCTAAAAAATATATAAAAATTGTTAATTCCAAAAATTATAAATCAAATCAATTAAAGACTGCTGGATTTATTCAGATTAAAAGATTGGCCCAGAGTTTGTATTTTTACGAATTCTAAGCTCATCTTGAGCTTTAGCTGTATGCACAACCTAGACATTTCTAAAAACTTTGAACAGAAATGAATTATTAATTTCTGTAATTAGTATTTAAAAAAAAGTAATTTGCTTTGTCGTTTATCTAGAAAATATTTAAGTTAAAGGAATATAATAACTTTAGACTTTAAAATTTTATCTAATTAGAAGTGCAACCACATCCTATCTATTTATAGATACTATCTCACTACAGGAGAGTATTTGTCTACTCTACAACAGACAAAAACTTCCAGTATTAAACTTTAAGCAGGCAAAGCCTCTCACTTTTCGTTAATTCTGCTAAAACTAATAAATGACTTGAAACGAGAAGTACACCTGTGTCATACTATGTTAACCATTTAAGTTCAGTAATGTTTGAAATTGCAGGCAAATTCTAACTTATGAAATTTTTATTTATGTTGAAGCAATTCAGAATCAACTACCAAGTAGATTCGATAAGATATTCACCCAAACCAAGATTACAATATGTAAAGAGTAAACCAACTAAAAGTTTAATTGTAAGGAGTGAACTTGGCAAGGAGTTTCGGACATTATCCCTCGAGTCTGTAGTAAATAAATGTTCAAGATTTAAGTTTTTCTCATAATACACAGTGGTGCAGTAACAAGCACAATCTACTACTTTGAGGTATTGACAAGTCTATCCTTTGGAAACAAACTTCTTTTTTTTTAATTACCCAATATGTTTTTGAAATAAAAGAAATTTTTAGTAGTAAAAAATTTAAGTGATTTTTCAAGGAAAACTATAAACTTATCAAAAAATGGTACACAAATGTATAGTACTAAAACATTCTCAACTGTTCTATCTTACTTGGTTTGTTGGAAACAAGATCCAAAAATATTACAATTTTAGTACCATTAAGACAATGGTACTAAATATGATGTTCTATTAAGTACAAACAAATCTATACAAAAAATTTATGAGTTTACAAAACAATGTTTTCTTGCAAAAGCAAATTCTCTTAATATCAATAATTAGCAAATTAGTTTCTATCAAAGAAAAAGTAAGATTCTTCTCCTTATTGTACATCAAGAGGATGACTCAGCATGAAAATACCATTAAATGTTTTATCTCAATGTTAGTATTCAAATTAGGAAGCATTGATGCAATTTATCCTCCTCTGTGAACATACAAAAATTCAATTCCAAACAGGAAGATTATACTTTCCTTTGTGCGGGAATAATCATTTTAATGCTCATAAAGATAAATATAAATTATTAAAAGAAACTGAATTTATATCTTTTTAACTTCTAATTGTGACATCTGTTGTTAATATTGAAGGTATGTTGTGTTAAAACATGGTTAAGATAGAAATTGGAGCACTTTGAACATTAGAACAAAATTTATATATATATTATCCTTTAATGTATATTTAAATTTTGTTCTAGAATTATTTGATCTGAATTAAGAATTTATCATTGCTAAATGTAAGATATTTTCTAATATTATGCTACAGAATATTTTAGAAATTGAATTTACTAAATGTAGATTTTTAAGATCAAATTCATTGTGATTAAATTATGTTTTTTCTAAATATTAAGCACTCTTTATGGCAATTTTTAGTAAATACTTGCAATTTATTTCTAGTCATTTGAAATGACATTGTCAACAAGTTGCAAGAGAATATTTATAATGTTCTTGTGGCTTGTTGAGATCATTATTTGAAAATACACCTTAAAAATTAAATTCTGTCAGTAATAAATGAGATAAATTCATCAATTCTTTTATTAAAAAATATTAACAATGAAGTGTTTTCAATAACTTTTCCATAGTTTTGTAAGATATAATACAAAGATGACTAGTCATATATAAATCCTTGAATATAAAAAATAATTAAATTAAATACTGACCATGTATTATAATTTTGTTTTCAAAATTTTATTNCAAAGAACCTGAACCTTTCCAAACACCTGCACCAGGTTCATATAACATCGAAGGATTATCCAGAACAGGAAAAGAAACAATACCAGCACCAACTATATCTGGGAGGAACAAGGAACCTGAACCTTTTCAAACACCTGCACCAGGTTCCTACAATATTGAAGGGTTATCTAGAACTGGAAAGGAAACTATACCTGCTCCAACCATTTCTGGAAGAAATAAAGAACCGGAAGCATTCCAAACTCCTGCACCAGGCTCCTATAGTCCAGAAAAATGTGATAAAGTGCTCAATTCATCACCAAGATATTCTTTTGGATTAAAAGGAAAAGATGCTAAAAGTGATGAAACACCAGGTATGTATAATAATTACACTGCATATAAAATTAATTAAATAATGTAAACGTTAAAAGTTAAATGATATATTTCAGCTCCCAACTCATATAAAATACGCTCTTCATTGGGATCAAAAGATAGTACTCACATGCAATCACCTAGCTACTCAATGTGTGGAAAAGCAAATGGGTTGTGGGATGAACGTAAAAATGTAAGTTTCTTTTCAAAATAAATATTAACAATAGCACTAATCCAGAATATATTATAAAATGCAAATAAATTCTAAAACATTAGATGCCTGGTCCTGGAACTTATTCTATACCTGAACCCGAAAAATATAAATCTAAATCTCCAAGCTATTCTCTCAGCGTACGAACAAACATTCCTTCTGATCACACAAAGAAACCAGGTCCTGGAGCACACTCACCAGAAAAAGTAAGTTTCTTTCTGTGTATAAAATATTAATCAGAACTAATATTTCAAAACAATCTAATACTAACTACCTTACTAACATTTAGTGCTATCTTCACCATTTAATAGGTGTGGATCACCAAACAAACCTCGCCTTGTTATAGCTTTGGAATTAAACATAGTCCATATACTGCTCCTATTCTTGACCCTTCAATGTTTCAGCGGTATGTTCTAAACACCGCTAAGCACTTGCATAACAATATAAAAAATGGTTTATTAGAAAATAGTTATAATTATTAAACAAAATTGAAATGCATGCTTAAAGTGAAACATTTTAAAATAAGCATTACAAATAAACTCACAGATTCAATTTTATTTTCACAGACAGTGATGAAGCATGGACCAGCTTATACTTTTGGAGTTCGCCATTCTCCACACGCCAGCAATGTAGACAAATCTCCTTAAGGAACAAAATTATTCCCAAGAAATCCCATTGATTTCCTAGGTACTTAATAGAACAAATAATACTTATAAAGCTTCTTTATAAATTTTATATTTTTGTAAGATATTGCAATAATATTCATATTGTGCTTCATAAAACCTGAAAGTGCCAGGAGCTGTACTAATAATCATGGGATAAACTGCACTGCCATAGAAAAAACAAAACTTTTTTTTATTATGTAGCTTTTTTTGAGTTCCTGTTATGAAATGATTAAATTTGATTATATACAAGCCTTGATTATCTTTAGACTCGTTGAATGTTTTAAACATTTATAGAGATTATAAATTGGCAAATTTCTGGAAAAAAGCAATAACAATTGACATGATGTTCCTTAATTCCAAAATATTTTATAACTGTTTTATTTTTAAATTTTTTATTTAAAAGCTTTCACTTGTCATCAGATAATCAAGGTTCATTATAAATGCAATTCTCAATCATTTCATCAGTACATTTTATGTGATATAAAAAAACTAACCCGGTGACAGGATATGTAGAACAAATTAGAAAGTTTGTGATAAAATATAGTTTTGTAAAAAGTTTGAGTCCCAAAATTATTGACAGCATCATCAAAAACAAAATATCATTTATTTGAAAAATTAACAATTTATATAATATATATATATATATAATATATATACAGGTAAAACTGCTTAGGCGACCACCTGCATTCGACGGCCCAAACGAAAGAAATGCAAAGTGCTGTAGTTAGATCATGTTAAAGTTATCACAACAGCAATTAGCGGCGAAGTTTAACTGTGGGAAAACGAAATTTATTAGTAGACCTACAGTATTTTCCTTGGGGGTATAAAATATCGTACACGATACAATTAATCGGCTGATCTCATCGTTTGATAAAATTTATTTATATTTATTTATTTTGAAGCTCATATACAGTACATGTGCATTAAATAGTTTCTGTATCAACCTACCTTATTTTCACGATATGTTTAGAAAAATAATATCCAAGTAATTTTCGCACGCGAAATATTAAAAAAAAACAACAAACGCATTAATGCAAAAATCAGTTTTACAGGCAACCTTCCTTTTTCGATTCCTCAATGACAATCGCGGAATGTAATGAAATCGTATAATGAGAAATAATAATAAAATCGTTTTATTATTAATTAATAATTTTTCTGATTGTACTTAAGAAAATATTAAATAAATACAGCATTTTTAAAGTTAAAATAAGAATAAACTAACGAAAACCAAAACCAAAGTAATGGAGAGATAGGACGGACTTGTATATCGACCACGTAATACACGAAACTGAGGAGCAAACGAAAAGAACCGAGTCGAATTAATTAAGTCGGAAGAAAGAAAGTATTCATTATATTCTAGAAAATGCGACTATTTTATTAATCTTTAAAATATTGGTATTAATTCTGTCTTATAAAATCACAACGACTCCTGTTAATCGAGTTATCCGATAAGAATAAAATACACCTTGAGTTTTGCTTAGTAAAATACGTACGAAAATACGGGATTACAGTACCACCTGTATTAGACAACCACCTGTCTTAAAGACTACTTTTTGAAGGAACCGTGGGTGGTCGCCATAGAAAGGTTTACTGTATATATCTACTGTTATCCTGTCACATAAGTGCACAAANGTTATCTGGTTTTTCCCACGTCTAAAACAATAGTTTTTTCACAAAAACGAAGTAATATTTTGTCGATATTTTAAACATATTAATAAAAATTTATAAATGAAACCCAGGGGCCTTTCGGATCTCACATCAAAATTAAAATTTTCTATTAGTTTTAATTTGTAATTTCCATAAAATTTTTAATGAAAGTATTAATTTCCTGAATACAAAAAAAGATACTGTATATGAATTTTATGGAAATTTATTATTTTATTACATTTCATAAAAAATTTTAATACATCTGAGATTCTATCTTGATATAATTGAAAATAAAAGTTTTCGATAAATTTCAATACATTTATCTTTTTTACAGGCAATTAGTTCCCAAATAATTTTTTTTAAAGTTTGATAGATAATTGTAAGTATATCACTGTTAAAACGTTTTTTTTTCATGATTTTCAAAAATCGTTTAAAAGTTTCATAAATATTATGAAAATGTTCGTTATCATTTCTTGTAATAAAGTTTGTTATGAACGTAAACAAATAACAAATGATTCAAAAATGTAATTACGTTTTTTAATATCAGTAGTCTACGATATAATGAATATAAGATACCAAGAATAATCTGCTTCAAGTTAGTATTAAAATTATATGTAATAAAAAACCAGAAATTTTCTTGAAATAAAATATTCAACTTTAGTAACTTTTACTGCTTATTCAAACATGACAAACATCGTGTCATTCTGATATGCATGTTTTTTTTAATTTTTTTTCTTTTGCATTTGATTAAATCACTTTATCTACAGTAGCACCTTTGGTAACTTGTCACTTTGGTACCTTATGATTTTATTATATTTTGAAAATTAGTTGTCCACAATTAATTAGTCAGACGGATGAAAGTTTCTTTCGTGTCTTTTAAGCGAATCGTCGTCTAAAAATTGTTCACTACAGAACGGACATTGCAATTTAATTTCTTCAACGTCCATTTCTGGGAAGAAGATCACTTGTGAGGAGCCTTCCAATTTGAGAATTTCTAAATCGACATTAATATTTTCAAGGAATTCTTCACATTCTTGTAAAGTAAAAAGATTCTCCTCTGATGAAATATCTTCAGATTCAATTGACTGTGGTCTTTGAAAACTTGTTGATGGTTGTTCAAACGATTTTTTCTGCTCTCGTTGAACATCTTGTGTCTTTTCCTGAAAGTGAATAACATAAATATCATAATTGTACACAATTTACTACTTACAATTCACAATTTTAACAAATTATAAGTAGTTAATAACATTCAGAATAATCGGTGAACGAATATAAATGCATTTCAGTAAAGTAATATTTTTACAAGAAAAATAATTGTTAATTTCTGTGAAAACAAAAAGTCATCGTTTTTAATTATTCGATACATATTTCTGTAAAGCCACGAAACAAAGACTTTCACACATCAAAGTAAATTTCCCTACACTCATGTATTTGTATTTGAGTGTTTATATCCTTATAATTATTCCTCAGACAACTAAACGAAATTCGATGTCCATAAATTGTCATTCAATCGTAATGAGTAAAAATAAAGTTTATTTATGAAAATTTAAATTTTCTGAAGTGGAATTGCATGTAATAACTTGTAATTTGGAAAATTAATTTAATGTCTCATCTCGTATATATGAAGTGATATAGAAACGTTTTTTCGTTACTGGCTGCTTATCGAATGACTCCTACTTTATACAAAAACTGCTTGGTGTGCGTGTTTAGAATATATGTGATAAATGAATATTGAAACAATGTGTGCTCATTAAATAAGTGAAGTTACTCTTATAATGTTTTTACTCTATAACACGGTTGTGTGTTAAAAGTTTAGTGACTAACGTATTTTAACACTTACTTCGGAGCAAGATGGAGCTTTTTCTTTCGGATGGATCTTTCTGATGTGTCTGTTTAAACTACTTTTGAAATTGAAAGTGTCGTTGCAAAAGTTACACGAAAATGGCCGCTCTCCGGTGTGAGTTCTCAAGTGACGTCTTAACTCAGCGGCAGATGCACAAACTTTTAGGCAAAAATTACATTTACGGCTTATTATCTTCAGATCGTTTGGTGGAATCTAATTATTCAATAAATTTTTAGTTAATTGTTAACAAAAGATAGAAACATAAATAGTTACTTTCAAATGTAAATGCTTCATGTAAAGTATTTATAAAACTGTTTTGAAACGTTTATTTCCACGATTCATTTTATTGTGATAATGACGTAATTTAAAGTAATATTTACTTTAGATAAAATCTCATCAGAATGCCGTCTGTACGTGTGTTGTTCTAACTCAGTTTTCCGTTTAAAGCTACGTTCACAGTTATTGTAATTGCACTTAAATGGTCTTTCATCGGAATGCACTTTCATGTGGAGTTTCAAGTGACTCTTCCACGAAAAGCTTTTCTCGCATAAACTGCATTTAAACGGCCTTTCGCCCGTATGAGTTTCCACGTGTCTTTCCAATTCGTGTTTACTAAGAAACGTCTGGTCGCAAGTCGAGCATTGATGTTTTCGTTCCTTTTAAAATAAGTCGTTCATTAACAATATATCACTCGTGAAAAAAATAAATTAAAATTATTTACAATAATATTACCAAAATCTGATTTAGTCAGGGTTTTCTAAATATGTAATTTAAGTCGATTATCATCGTTACTTTGTAAAATGAGCAGTATACAACCAAAAGAAAATTAAAATTATTTACAATAAAATCTGCTTATTATAATCACTTTGCCTACACCAATAATAACAAACCTGACTATTTACTTGCCTCACTTAATTAATGTTATTAAACTAAAATTAGTTAAAATTCTGATGCTACCAAGACTGGATATTAAAAGGATATGCTAAAACAATTAAAAAAATTGTATAACTAAAATAATTAATAAATCTTCATTATTACTTAATGATATTTCATCCAGTATTATTTGCCTGATAGTCTTTAACAAGTGATATATAATTGAATAAAATTTGTCAGATATTTAAAACTATGGTATGAAAGCAAATAACAATTAATATTTGATGTTTAAAGTATAAATGCATGTTATCAGTCACATAGTGAGGCTCATGTTATAAAAAGAAATCATAAAATTGCGTATTTATTTAAAGTTGATGAGAACTGAACTAAGTTTTTAGTGTATTTTATGTTTTGGAACCCATTAACTTTGATAACATTTCATTTCTATATTGCAATGATTCAAATATTCTTTGTTCATTGTATAGTACCTAGTAATAATGGATGTTATGTTTAAAATCACTGCAGATTATCTTAATCAGACTATTTCAGAGATATTAGCTTTATACTGTATATTAATTTTTGACTTTATCATTTATTTATTATTAAACCAATTATTAAATCAAAATGATGGAGTATATTCATATTAGACATCCTCAAAACATGAAATGTAGTAGAACCCAATTATAAGAGGACAAAAATTCAGGAAAATTTGACTACAGACCTTTCAAGAATTAATTAATGACATCACTAAAGATGTAAAATTAGTTTCTTCAACATTATTAAATGTACAAGAGAGAGAGAATTATGAGATCAATAAAAACAATTTAAATTAGAACACATTAATTCAATTATCTTTTATATAGACTGTATGCAATTTATTAAAATTTATCTGCAGAAACACTGCAGTTCCATTTAATTTGCATAATTCTGAACAGATATTTTGTGAATTTTAATTAAAAAATGCTTAATTTTTTTATATTTCTATATTTGCCCTCTAAATTATNGCCCGTAAACTTGACACGTGTCGGGCTGTGATTGGAACGACTTGTAAGAAATCAGATTCCTAATAAATTGGAACGTATCTATATCTTATAGGGGGGGTCGACGGAGTAGTTAGAAATAGATTTTATTTTATGAAAACGCGACGCTAACTTTTAAACAATATAAGAATGTAAGTCCGTCGACCATTTCTGGTTGGAGATCGAATTAAACTTCGATTTTGACTTCTCCCGCGCCCCCCGAAAGGTTTCGAATTGTCATCAGGTGACGAGGAGAGACCAATCGGAAAGGGCAATCCGAGAGAAAACGGATAAAACCCTGGAAATTCAAGGACGCGACAGCTTTTTCTCCCGAAAGTTCCAAGTGATGGATCTATTGTTGTGTGTGTGTCTCGCGCCCATCTTCGTCTCCATCTCCCGACCTCGGATTGACATCTTTCCCTCAATGGAAGTCGACCGCATCTTCCCGGAGTTGTTGAGACATGATGGAATGGTTCATTCATGAACAAGGGACACTCCTTCAAGATGGGACTATCTTGGAAAGGAGAGGAAGACCCAGAGGCTGCAGCCGCTGCAGAACTTCCAAGATCGCGGAAATCTTGTAAGCTTTTGTGTTTAATAAATGGTTGTGTTGTTCGTAAACGAAGCATCTATCTCTCACTCACTGCTTTCACACGTCATTGATTGTTACCGCTCGGCAATCCAAACGGCAAGGGAAACGATGACGATATATGTTGCCTATTATCATTCATCGAGTTTTTTTATTTCTACCCCCTCGGCCCCCACATATCCATTTGGTACCAGTTGACCAGTTAACATGCATTACTACATACAACTTGAAAGTCTCTTCTACAGTGTTGTACATTTAAGTTTAACATCATTACAAATATCTCACTGCAAAGTAACTTTTTGGACACCCTGCATTAAAAAGTCCAATCTTGTTTACTGGACAATCACATCAGAATTCTTTTTAATATTGCTCATTCATAGCCTATTCCAGAAGATGCTGACATTAAAATCAACAAAAGTACTTGAACTTAAACTTGTTATATTGTCTTATTTCTAATTTAAAACCTGTATAACAGGTTATATATTACATCATTATCCATAATATCCTAAATTGCTTCATTAAGACAAACAGATATGTTACTAATTCCACTTAATATTTCCAAAAATTTATACAATTTTTTAAAAAATTTTCTTCACATCATACTTATAACCTTTCAAGATAATTATAAACTTATATTAATTTTAATTCTTAGAAACATTAAATCTTACTTCAGACCAAATCATCATCATATCAAATTAACATTTAAACATTGATATACCATATTTCTTGTAATAATTGTCCATTATTCTAATAATCACCCAAATAAATACTCTTGTAATAATTACCCATCTATCTTGTATTGTGAGGTAAACTGTACCAGTCAACCTAAATACTGGTATATCAGTAATGTTTGATATTATCCAGTATCAAGATTTATTATGTAATATATTTTTCAATATCAAAGTTGGGAAAATTTATACTAGGTAATACTGTTATCAACATTTGATATTACGGAAACTGGAAATTATCAAAATTCATGAAGTTAATTACAGTAATTTGAGTACTTTGTTCAAATTATTTCATATATTTTTCACACTTCCAATTTAACTAGTTTTATGTTTGTTATTTCTTTGGAATTATGTGTTTTTCCTTCTTACAATGTCAATACTTTTTTACTACAAAGAAAAATGCCCAGTGGCAATTATTACAGGAAATACAGTAATTACATTGTTAACATTTACATAAAGTATGAATTAGCAACAAGAAACAAGTAATGTAATCTATACTGTCCCACATATCAAAAATTACATTTATATAAAAATTCTTCAAGCATACTGTTGAATTTTATTATCAAATAATTATTTCTATTAAAATTATTTTCAAGTAATAATTAATAAAAAGTAACAAAGTTAATATCATTTAACAACTTGAATCTGACAATCACCATAGGTATTTTTAACCAATCAGTTAAGCAAAACTATTTTAAAATAAATTTTAAGGTCATGTAAGAGAAAAGTTTATGAAATTAGTTTTTTTTTTTTTTACCAGATTAAAAGATTAATTTTTACTGTAAATTATTTACAGTAAAAATTATTTATTCATGTACAATTCTACTCCAATTTATATAAGTCAATTATTTTTAAAAATTCAATCCACAACAAAAAATTATTCATCTGACAGAATATGGCAACATAATCATCTGCAATCTGCCTAGAAAGAGTACATCTCAGAAGGACTTTCAATAGGAAACTGACTCCTATTTAGCTGTTAGTCATGTGAAGAAAACAAAATCCCACATGGTCAAGTGCGAATCCACAAGCAACTACCAGTATTCAGTGATTTTTATCCATCTGGCTGCTGGTCAACTCAACAAAAAATTAATGTTACAAGACATAATAAAGAAGAGATTTTCAGTGCTCTTACTGTGTTTTGAGGTTTAAAAAATAGGACTTTCTGGAGAAATAGTAGAATAAATAGGACAAATTTAACCTTAGACAACTAAACTTAATTCTCAGTTACATTATAACTACACATTCGTCAAGCAGACTACGCATTAAAAAACATTAATATCAACAAAATTGTTTAATAAAAATAGGAACTTGTTTTATGGCACCAAGTATGGTTAAGTAGGAACTAAATAAGAACAAAATATTTAGGAAATAACATATGTAACAACTGTGTGTAATCTTAACATTATGGGAGTCGCAAATTGCATTCTTGCATTTCATGCAATGGTGTTTTGTCATTCTACGAGCTTTCGATGGACATAAATAGCATATTTTATGCGAATTCAATGCAGAATGAGTAGGTGCTTCTACACTGGGCACATCACCTAGAATATCCCGTAGCATGGTTCTAATATCAAGCCTCAAAGGCACCATCTGTAACCGCTGTTGTAGCTAGGGCTGCATGAGTTGGTCTCCCATCCTCATAAAGAAATCCCTCCGAGACATCGGTTTTTTTTCTAATGTTATTAGAGACATAGATAGCATAGCTGTTGATTGCCAATAGGTTTAGCATATTATAAAACACACATAGTGGCCACCTTTTGGTTTTTCTGTTATTATATATGTGTTATTCATATTTGAACACATTTGATCTACTGTGTCTACCGCACCCTTTGTACTATTATAAGTGTATTATTTGTGGTTTTCTTGTATTTTCATTGATGTTAGGTTGATTATGAATAGTTGACAAAACATAAACAACTTTATTTGCCTTGGCTTTGTACGAAACTAATGTCTTATTGCTGTCATAACAAAATATTGAAGTACCATTAGCGCGTGATTTAGAATTTTTTAATTTTTCAGGAATTTCTCTTTTGTTACTTCTAAGAGTGCCAACTAAGGTCAAATTATAAGGTGACTTCAATAGTTCACTTGCCAAAGATACAGATGTGAACCAGTTATCCATAGTAATGTTACAGTTGGTTCCATGTAAAATAGATGTTATTTCCTTTATGAAAAACATAGCCAATGGTTGATTCTGAGGATCAGTACCTTTTCCCAAATACAGAATGGCATTTATCACGTACTTACTGTTTATGTATATTGTTATGGCAGCAGATGTAATGTACATGCCTTTGCAACAAAGTTACGTAGAAACAAAACTTTAGTCGAGCAGACTATGGGATGGCCGTAAGTCAATTTCTAATTGACGTGTGAACTCAATTGCATCACACACTGCACTGTTTATTTAAATTATTAAGGTAGAAAAAGAATGATTGGCAGGAAGCGCGGGGAAGTTTGTGAATTTCACTTTTGAGCGGAGGTGCGTCATTGTGTGGATCTAGTATATTATCTAGGGTTAAAAACAGACAAAATCATCACTTAGAGGATGTTAGAAAAAATACTATAAAAAAGCAGTCTCCAGTATATTTATTTGATAAAATACATCCTCATTAACAAGCAAAGGAAAGATAAATTTAGTATATACACATACACACTATGAATCTTTTATTTACTATATTATATTATATATAGTAGGACTTTGTTCCTATGAACCAGTTCTGCAGACTTTTATCAATTCTCTAAAATGAAAGTGAAGATGAAATGGATTCCAATCAGCCACTTGGGTGGAAACCATAAAGACATCACAGAAAATGATTTCTAAGACTGTTCTGATAAGTGATATGGATATTGATATTACAGAAGTTTACTTTGAAGCTGATCTCACTGATCTAATACAAGAGATTCCACATGTCTGTACCAAAAGTTTAAATTGTTTTTAACTCTACTTCACATTTCTATATATAAATTATCTTTACAATTTTTTTTCATTAATAATTGATTTGTAAGAATAGAAAAAACAGATCTTATTATGGCTTGATATGCTGTTGAGTATGGCACACTCAACTGCCATTAGCATTGACTTATGTAAACTGGCATAAAACTCAATATTTTCAAGAGTGATGAAGACATCCTGTCCTTATCTTATGCAGTACATTCTTCCTTTATTTTAAAAACATTTCATTATATATTAATAGTCTTGACAGTGGATTTGTTGCTCTATATTGTTCAAAACTTTTGCCAAATTTATTTCTCAGAACTGATTTAAGATAAGTGATTCCATACATTGTTCTTTCTCTTATGAATTATGTGATCAATAAACATTTTCAATGGTAATTTACATACAGATGAACATCTACATTTTTTTTTGTTTAATAATACAATTTTAAAATTAAAAGCTGCATTTAATTTATCATCTCCTTCCTTTAAAGTATTGTACATACATAAATAAATATCTTGTGTAATTTCACATTTTAAGCATTATTTTGGAAAATTTTGGAAAATTCTTCGCAAAAATCTTCTATTTCCCATACAACATTCTTTTCGGTTATCACAGTTTAAATTATTGCGGTGCTTTTCCTGGCAACATCGACTGCAATAACTGGGGTTTCCCTGTATATCATTTCATTATTTTTCTTTAAAGGATAAACTTATAAGAATAAATTATGTAAGTTCTCTTTCCAGAGATATCAAGTAATATGATATTTTATTATTTACATGACATAATGTTAAACTTTAAACAGAATGAACTCAGACAACAGTTAAAATTCTGTATTATCATCATTCAGAAAACTTTTTGACGTTGCAAATCATATTTTGTCTTTCAAAACACAAATATATTTTACTAATAAAATATACTTACCTAATTTTAGTAATTTGATCATTCTATTAACTTGTCAAATTCATTCCTTCACTTGAATTGAATTTTAAAAATCCTACTTTTATTTTCATTTACACAAAATAATAAGACTATAAAACTAAGTTTTTAATTCTAATTTATAATACAGAATCATCTAAATATTTTTTGTTTAAATATATCATTTAAACTATTTTTAGATAAATTTATGACAACACATCAAATTTCTCCAAGTTTTATAAAATCACGACACACATCTACTAGGTTCTGCCTGTCACCAACAAATGACTTGACAAATAAAGATTCTGAATATTATAGATTGATGCTTATTATCATATGACAAAACAACAATATTTTGTCATCAGTAGATTTATTTACACAAATTAATCTTAAAATAAAATATGTACGATTCAAAAATTTTTAAAAATCAAGCTTAAGACATTATGTTAAGTATCAGCAATTTACTTTACACATCAGATTTTGTCATACCTAAAAATATGTCATTTTGAAATCTTAGAATTTTTTGTTTGATTCATTGAAAACAATTATTTTGTCATGTTAATAGCACTGCTAACATGACAAAATAATTGATGCTAAACTATATTAATGTTCTAAGTGTATTATGATTCCCAATTGTAAGGGGGATACTTACAAATTGTAAAATTTAGTTACTGTAATTAAATTTAATATAAATTTTAAATCACTTAAGAAAAAGCTTATGTAATTTTATTTAGACTAATCTTATTTTGCTAATTGTGTAATATCAGCAATAATTGTTTCTGAATAAATCTGTACAGCTGTAACAGGATGTATTTTGTTATTAAATTGTAACTATAAAACAATATGAAATTTTTAAGTTATTTTAATAAATTCTTTGTTTTTTTAAGATATTAATGTTACTTTTAATGATGTATACATATAAATAAATAACATGTACTTCTATTCATTTAATCTGATAAACAGGCAATCAAGATGAATTGAGAATGTATACTAGTTATTTTTTTACAACAAAAATAATACTATGAAAAAAATTTAATAACTATAAAAATCAAGTGCAGAAATAGTGATTTCTGTTATTCTTGCATAGTGAAACAATATTATC